TGAATCCGAATATGATGTTCAAAAATTTTTTCTAACGCTCATTTTTATAGAAAACTCATTTTTTCCGACACCTATAGCTGAAAAACCATGGTTTTATAGAAACCTATCTTTCGAGTATTTTGGAGAAAACTTTCTGGAGACAAAAAGAAAGAGCATGTCAAGAAACCCTTATAAACCAGAGGACAACTCAAAACATTCACTCATTCTTAGGATAACCTAGACCAACTTTCTACTGAGACAAGCCTATTTTCATTTACTATAAGAGTTATCCTAAAAATTTAATGCGATGAAAAAAAACCCAATATGTTTTCAAAGTTCAGGAATTTAAACATATACAAAGTTTGTCGAAATTTTCGAATGCAATTTTCTTGTTCGAGAAAGACTTCGTGATGTTTTATAAAACTCAGCTACTTTTTTTTTTAAATAGATCTCCTTCGATCGAAATGAATATAAGATGAATATCACTATTGTACTTTTAGTCATTGGTTGATGATATTTGTTTCGAAGAATGTTTCATAAACTTGAAATTTTTGATTTCTAAAAATTATTTTCATTTTGTTCACTAGTCATTTCATCATATTAGTAAGACATCATTTTCTTTAGTTGTAACAATACAAATAGCACTACTCAGAATTTGATTAATGAGATTCGAGAAGAATCATTTGATCATTGTACTAATATAGTTTAAATACTTTCCTTTACGATTTTTATTATTTGAAATTGTACATATCTTGTTTTTTATCTATATCGTTGAAACTCGTTCTTCTTTATATGTAAGTACAATAGACTGACTAGTTTTCTATTTCAAAATATTTTTCGAAATGTTGAATTATTCAAAAATCTCATCTATTACTAACACATATCAACAATGTTAAAGAAAAAACAAACATTTTTTCTTACATTGGACTAAAGTTTTCATTATGTATATATATTTATTTCGATAAATTAAACTAAAACATACCAATGACATCATAAATGGTAATAATCTTTCATAAGTTACATTTATAAGCACTTGTGCGTCAATTTCGATGTTATATCTATAGGACAATAAAGATTATTAAAATCTTCTTTAATAATATCGATTGATATTGTTATTGATTATATCTATAAAATTAACGATAAATATTTCGCTAATAATTGTTTATTTAATGTTTGTTGGTCAAGTTTTAGCATCACTTCAATACGATCATAAACAATTAACTCAGCTAAACATAATACAAACATATATGATAATAGAAGAAATTATTCAATTAATAAAACTAATAAAAAAAACGCTTTCATCTAAATATATTCCTTCACAAATAAATAAATGACTTGCAACTGATGTATAATATATAAGATCAAATAAATTATGTGCATACATATATATATCACTTTGTACAAATAAAAAATAATAATTGACGATATGTTATTATTGATGTTAAATATTCAACATATAATTCATGACGATGATATTTATATTGATGACCATCATGCTTCTTGTGCGCATAATCAAGTATATTCAGAATATGTATTCATTATAATAATAATTTAAAATATTCACTTAAAATAGTTAAATATGAAAATGCATCAGATGATGTACAGTTTCATCATGAATTAATGATTGACGAAAATCATTTAAAATTTTTTCGAAATTATTTAGCTAAAATAAAATTAAAGATTTTATATAACAATAGGAATTTTAAAGTCAAATGTTTTATCGCTAGCTCATTAGTGATTAATGAAATGCAGGAAAGTTTTCTTCTCAAATGAATGAGTGATATGTTACTATCATACAGATTATGATGTAAGCTTAAGCTCTTTTGACTTTGATAGAAACTAGTTTTTAACTGTTCAGTTAGTTTCTTCTTTCTAAAGTTTCAAATCGAAAGTTTTAAATCAATCATCCTGGTACTCGTTACAAAGATGACAAGTTCAACCAAAAATAATGTTCCTATTGCTGAACTATCATATCTATATGTACAAATACATTATTGTTTTGATTCATTACCATTTTTCATAATATGCAGAGAAACCAATGTCATATTGATTCGAACACGTTATTGTCTGAAAATTTGTCATATTACGTCATGCAAAATTCGAAGAGAAACTCTAAAAAGAAGTAAGAATCGTAGTTTTTAAAATTATAAATACAATCATTGCGAATACGTACCCACTATCTCGTATTCTATTAACTGATGATAAAGCATTATTTCATCGTGTTAATATTGGATCTTTAGTTGAATTTGATACAAAACATCAAAGAATGATATTTATATCACTTAACCATCAATTTATAGTTTAATGACTGATGTCGTAAAAAAAGAAATTTAAACAACAGGAAAATTTCATAAATAAAAACAAACCAACATTTCTATTTGTTGATGCTCGAAAAGCAACAACAAATGGATCAATAGGTCATAATTCAAATGATGATACAACATCAAATAGTGTTAATTGTGTTGAATAAATATCCAAAAGTGATCGATCCTATTTGAAAAGAAACAGTAACGTATAGTCAAAGATTATTAAAAAAAGAAAAATAACCTTAGATAAACCAATAGTAAGATGAACAAGAAGTACATCGACAATTTGTCGAGAAAAACGTTTTCATTTATCACCTTCATTTCGAACACTATCAACAATTGCAAAGTTTATAAAAATATCAATTCTATTATTGCTTTTTTTAGTACGTAGAGATGATATGAAAAGATTCTTTTATTTACAATAATTAAGATGCCTACTTTTTCTTCAAACTTTTAATTGTCGTATCTTTTATCAAATATATAACTGAATATTGTTATCTCCAAATATTGTCGAACTCTTGGCATCAACAATATAGTTATTTTCAGATAATTGATTCGTTGGAGTGTAGGTGTGGGTTCGATTGAGGAGAAAAAATACACCTATACATACTTTCGAGTTTCTATGATATTTGAGACCTGATGGAAGAACATGTTTTGTTCACTCTCATTTAATAAAACGTTTTAGGGATTTTAATTATTCGAATGGGGACTATTTCTTATAATATCATATTACTTTATTGTATCGAACAAGTTTAAGTAAGGTTTCAACAAGAAATAAATCATATACAACTGGTTCTAATGCTGCTAAAGCTAAACAAAGAATTTTAGCGATAACTTATTTTTCTCGAAAATATTTTGTTTTGTTTTCACTTCCTACCATGTGTTTCAAGTTCATGTCCGTTTGCTAATAATTAATCACATTGTTTTATTAAATCTTGTACTTAAATAACTTGTTTTGAATGAAGTGTATCATGTGATAACATAACAAGGAATTTAGCAATACTATAAATAAAATGTGATGATGTATCATAATCTGTCATAGTTTCTTCAATCATTTCCAGTTGATGGATTATATGAGTAAGAAAATGCTGTTTAAAAAATAAACGAAAAGATTAAAAATATAACGAAAATTCATCACCATTTAATCAACTATAATTAACACGAATTAAAAGTAATTGAACAAGTAAATCGAGTTCAATAAAAACTAAAATAGAAAACAAAAAAAAACAGAATAGATCAAATTCGTTTTATTTTGTTTATTTTACTCTCGCATTACACTATATTCTATGGATTGATCACTATTTATATTTGATATATAACGTGAACCAAATAAAATAAATAATCAATTGTCGAATAGTTATTGTATGAATATTATTTAAATTATTTATTGGTACTTGTGAGGTAACAATTGAATATTTTGTTTCAGCAGATGATGATGAAACGATTGCTAATTAGTACAGGTTTAATAGAAACTAAATTAAAAGAATATTTTCAAATGAATGTTGTGTTAACAGAAAAAACATAATTTTCAAATTTCGAATTTTAAGAGAGAACCAAATGAAAAGATGTGGCACTTTCACAATAAACTATTCTCTCATTAAAACCGTCAATATTTGCAAAATCAGTTTTTCTGTTACTATGATATTCTTATATTGAAATTTTCTTTTTCTGGATTAGACTATTCCTGAAATCTTGATTGTCAGATTTCCATCTAAAATTCTGTCCACAGACAAGTTTTGGATAAGAGACTATCACAGAGTATTTCTTTTCTTGACCTGCCCTAAGAACTGGGCATAGGGCGTAGACAGAGTAGAATAATACTTATAAAGTGAGTATATCTATTGCAAGATTTTAAGTTCTAATAAAATAATGATATTCTCAGGTGCTTTTAGTGACTAAACCCCATCCTAGAAAAAAGAAGAAAGTAATTTTAGTTGCAAAACAACGTTTATTTTTTACTAGGGTCACATTTTCTTTCCTTTATTTTATATATATAAGTACAATTTTTATACTAATAAAATAAACATCAGTAAACTGTTTATATTTTTTAAATAAAGATTAAAAATTTTTTTTTTCCAAAAATAAAAATAAAAAAAAATTAAGATAAATGAAACCTTCATATTTACAAAATAAAAATATCGATTTTTTTCTTATTTACCACCTTTATATAAAGTAAAGAAAACAAAAAATAAATAATGAAGAAACCTCTTCTATGAGAATTTCATCGTTAATTTTTCACCAAGTAGCTCGCCAAAAAGGTGCGACACCATAGATGGAAATTGTTTCATGTATTCGATTGATTTTCTAATGATATGACATGTCGAAGTGATATTCATGACAAGAAAGAACATTGCTTCACATATCCAGTTCTTATACTATGTATTTGTCTATTTATCTATAACAGAACAAATTTTTCTTCATTCTTTAATTTTCAAAAATAAACAATTCATCTATGTTCATTTTATAAATATCAAGATTTATTTTTATTTATACTTATTCTTTACTATAATTCAAAAATAAAGTTATTGCCGAAAAACAAAATTTTAATGTGCTGAATTTCATAAAGTCAGCAGAATTTTCGACATAAAATTTTAAAGAACTCATATGTCTTCTGTTATGTTTTATGAAATTTTTTTAGTGCGTCGTGGTCTTCTAACATAAAATATGATCTTCTATTCTTGACTTGTGTTTCATAAAAATCGACTATCTTTTAATTTCATCGATTAAAATTAGGTCTTCTGAATGAAAGGCAACTTTTCTTTCTTGTAGTTTTTTCTGTGCTCATCAAATTTTTAAGGAAGTAGTCAGTTCATATTCAAATTTCTTAAGACATGTAGCAGAAAAAAAAACTCGATTACATTTCTAATCAACTTCATTTTATAAGCAAGGTTTAATTCATTCAAAATTATTTATGAAATGACAATCAAAATGAATTGAAGATGAAATAATTAGATTAAAATCGACTAAAAACATTCGCATTTTAATCGATTGTTTAATCAGAAAAACTAAACTAGAATTAGGCTTTTTTTTAATTTTTTAGGCATAGGATAAGCGTTTTTGCCCTGCCAGCCAGTTTCTGATTCAGACCCAATACGACATCCTAAAGGTTTTAGCTCAACCGATTAGTAGAAGAAGATTAATAACTGAAATTTTCTAACTAATATGTATTATTTAAAAGAAGTTTTACCTCTTTTGTACATTGAACGTTGATTTAAAATAATTTAGTGTCTCTTCCAAATTTTTTAATAAATCTTGTGTAGAAATAAGACTTACTACTGATTTTATAGAAAATAATGTTGTTGAAAGTAATCGTTCAAAATTAACTTTTGTATCTTTATTTGTGTTTGATATTATTGATGAATCTTTATCATTCTCTAAAACAAAAAAACAAATGAATCCGTTCAGACAAGACATGATCCAATACATTCTTCAAATCTAAAACTTTAGAACTCCTTTCTTCTACGAAAGTTGAAATATCAATTATAGAAAATGATCTTCTGCCCAACAAAAATGATGATTGTAAAGTTTTTTGCAATAGTTCGAGAACATTAATAAAATAATTCAATTTTTGACTAACTTGAATCATTTGTGCTACTTCAAAAACATTTTTTCATTTGTTAAGATTTGATAAATCTTCAAAAAATTAAATTATTATTATCGAGTAATAATTGTAAATTATTAAGATCATTTCATATAAACAGATGTATAAGTAAACAAAGTTCATCATATTGATTATGAAAAAAATGATCGAATTGTTGTTGATCCTAAAACATTTGAAGGAGCATAAATACCTTCTAAACATTCAACTTATATAAAAGACAAAAATAACAAACAATTTATATTCGAGTTGATGTTTGAGCTAAACAATCCAATATTAATGTTGGTAAACATGATATTGTTTCACATTGCATTCCATCATTGAATATAATTACAGAAGTATTTGTTTGTTACAATGAATAATGAATTTTATGCATCCATTGACAGGAAGAATTGATCCATTTAGGTAAATAATGTATTGACCATTGATATACTAAAAAAATGAATTGTGATCAATAAACATTAAAACCAAAAAGTAGCTACATAGTAACTAACTTAATACAATAAAATCGACTGATGCATTCAACTTCGAAAATAAAACTACCTAGTTAACTTATAACTCTACGATTGACATACTTAGCAAAAGTTAAAGTAGCTGCTGGACGAAAACTTGTATCATTATCAGTAAGAAATAGAAAGATAATGCCAATACCATGATCAAGTCATGATCGATTCTAAAAATAAAAGTAAAACAAAAAAACTAAGATATTGTTTTTATCTTCTATATATGATTAGTTTTAATTTACTGTTTTTTTTATCTGTTATTGTTGTTGTTCAAGATAAGTTAGTATTCAAGAAAATCAATATTACGCACAATTTGAGCTAGAGCAACCTATTTTATACACATAAACAGTTTATTGTAATCATAAGTTTCATTTGTCTACTTTAGCAAGAATATAAGAACTTGTACTATATTGAGTAGAATCTTCTAATAATTCAATTCCTATGATTGTAAATGTATAACATGTGCATTATTATCCTAAACACATAATCGAAATGTAGAAAGTAATTCTGCTAATATACCTAATTGAATATATTTAAAAACAAAAAGAAAGAATATTTTTATCAAAAACAAGAGACGATTTAATATTCTAATCTAACCTTGAACTGTCTTGTGAATCAATTGATACAAATGAATATTCATTAATAAAAGAATTATTAAATGAATTTGATAATGATAATAGTCTTAAAAGATGAATTGTTCTTTTTAAGTAATGTAGCAAGGAAAGAAATTTGCATATGTATCACATAAATGTAGATCGCCGTATTCACATAAAGATAAAAGATATGTAATATCTTAAAGGAAAAAAAAAGATACCTCGATGTTCGATAGATTTTAATGTATTACAAGCATTCAAGAATACAATTGATTTCATATCGTAATGAAAAACCAAATATCTCTTTCGTACTAGATATGTACAGAATTCGTACTTTAGCTTCGAACTTTGTTTTTGAGGTAATTATGTGATTGTATAATTTCAACCTCTGATATATAAAGACTCTAAAACTTTTGTATATCTAACCTACTTAGTAAAGTGTTCTATTTGATATATTTCCGAGTCTGATAATATTCTACTCTTTTGTTGGTTTCAAAAAGATTAAAATTTCATATCGTTTTGTTTCAACAATTCAATAGTAAAATCTTCGTCTCTATTAGATAACTTTCACTAAAACTTTGAGATCATAGTCAACTGAAGCCACGTTAACTAAACTCTGCTACAAGCTCCTTCATCAGATTTATCCTATTTATCTGAGTTCTCCTACTGTTACAACATTGGAAATAATTTTGGATTATAAAATAAATGTATTTTACTGAACTGAAACTTTACAAAAAAAAAGTCTCAAACAAGCATTAAACATACTTACAGTAGGATAATCAAATTATTAAAACATTGAGCAAATGTCTAATTGGAAAAAAAAACATAATTGATTAACAAGTTTAGCAACTGATGTTTGTTTTTCATTATTAATCATTGATTTTGAATATAATTCATCATTCATTTTATATACTAAAATATCGTGTTGTTTATTAATTTCAATAAATCAATGTTGATATGTTGAATAATCTATTATTTTAGAAAAAAAAAACTTGTTGTTCTCTTTCCACAATATTTGCCTGTGTTTAATGTGTGACTAATACAAGTTACGTCTATAGATCCAATTTGAATTGAAATTAATAATTGATCAAAATCAAATAAATTTGAATATTTAAGTATAATTTTATGTGTTTCCAATGAATTTCATATTACATTATGATCTTTTATGTTGTAAACAAATATAAAATATCATATCAACATATTAAAAAATAAAATTTACATAGAAAATAAAATCATTCATTATTTGTCAAATACTGATTGAAAGATGTTGTTCATTTGTACCAATATTTCTAGTTCTTGTTATTGATCGTTGACTTTTTCTTGATGATGATTGAAATTTTTTGATATTTAATTTAAGATAACCAATCATTAAAATTTTACTATGATTTTGATTATAATGCTCAAATAATTGATCTGTTAAAATAAAAGACAAATTATAATTAATCGAAATAATTATTTGAAAGAAAACTTACCAATTACATTTATCATTAGAAAACGTGCCATAATCATAGGATAACATATTGACTGAATAGGACATGAGAGATTCCTGAAAATAATTTATTATTAATATTAGGAAAAAAAAAGAAAAATTCATTCTCACCCGACTTCATACCTTAACTATAACGATTGTCAGTGAATCAACTATGACTAATTTATTTCATTTCTCATTGATATTTAATGATAAATAAAATTTTATTATTCTTACTGCAAATAATGGACAGTTTCTCACTCAGTATTTCGTCGAATAGTATGTGACTACCTATTCTACAATCATTTTCTATGTTTCTATTCAATCGCATAACTTTTTTCTGATTACTTCTTTAGAAGAGGTTTCTTAGATGACAAGAATTTTCATTTTTACTTACTTTGATTTTTTCATCATTAATTGATCAACCAAGAATATTAAAAAAAAAGTTCATTATATTCTAATAAAATGGTTGAATCTTTTTCGAATGTTTTACATTTGCTGATTCGTCAAATCGCCATAGAACATCTAATTGAAATTGAAATAAAACAAACCTTTGAATGCTTTTTATTCAACATTAGGATTATCTTTTATAATCCTATTTTATAATTCATACAAAATTATTAAAAAAAAAGAATGTCTTTTATAATACTTTTACAATAGTCGTAGCTGATTTAGAATTATTTTCATCTTTATCTCTAGATCAAAAAAAACTTTCGATAACATGTTGTTGTTGAAAATAATTTTAAAACTTCAAGTAACTTACTTAGTTTATCCATTTTGTTTAATTTCTATTGAATTCATTCATTTTAAAGCTAAATAAATAAGTTTAAACATTTTTTGATAACCATAATAAATGAATGAATAGTCGACGGAAAAAGTCTAACGTCGATTGAATATTCACCTTCATCAATGAATGAACGAAAAACTATTCTACAAATCTTTATATTAGATCCATAATTTTGACTGTAAATTATTATTTAAAAAAAATCAACTACTGCACTTGATCTATTTGAACTTCTGTTTTATTATATTATATTCAATCAATATGATCGTAAAATAATATTTTCGTAAAACGTTATGTAATAAGTAATAAAAATGATTCAATTTATAAAAATTCCTTTTTCATTTTCTTCTTTCAATTATGTCTTATACATGTATGTTACTAATCAACGAGAATTGTCAATAATTTTTTTTTTCGTGTTCTTCTTTCGTTCAGTCATCACTCGTATAATATGATATTGAGTGCACGACATCTCATTTGTTCTTGCACATTCAAGATGAAAAGAAAAATAAATTGAACATAACATATGTAAAGACGACATAGATATCGTGCACTCAATATCATAGCATGAGTCAAAACAACCGGTTGTCATCATACGCTGCGTATTAAAATTCCGTCGACGTCGTCTTTCATCGCGTTTTTCTGTTTCTTCTCGTTCTTTGTAACAGAAGAACAAAAAGTTTATAAACAAACGGAGCTTTCGAGGGTGGCTCTAAAACAAAATGATCCTTCCCAGGGATATCCGACGTTCTGTTGGTAGCCTGTACAGGCGTGCAGATGGTAGGCCTTCATAACATACATCTATGTATGTATGACTAGAAGCATCCATCTCGTCATCGTCTTTCCGAAGATGATGATCATGGATGTACTAGTCATACATACATAAATGTATGTTTCCGTTATCATTGCCGGCTTTGTCCACTGTACAACCCAACAGAATACGGAGGGTATCCCTGGTCGCACGTGCACGAAAATGTTGTAGTTGGTGCGCTTCGGCGAGCCAGACGTGTTCAAGAAGGCCAATTTATTTTCTTGTTTAAAAAAAAAACAATTACATTTTCTTTTTTACAATTTCAATGTTTCTTTCTGTGCATGCAGTACTTGGATGCCCTGAGGAAAGAGCAATTTTTTTGATTTGTAGTGCTTTTTCGTAGTATTTAAGTGCTTTCGAGTACTCGCCCATGTTATCATACACCATACCGATGTTGTTGTAGGAAGTAGCCAAGTCGGGATGATTCGGAGGGAGAGCTTTCAGACTGATCTCCAGGTCCTTTTCGTAATATGAAAGTGCTTTCGAGTACTCGCCCATGTTATTATACACCAAACCGATGTTGTTGTAGGATTGAGCGAGGTCGGGATGATTCGGAGGGAGAGCTATTTTTTTGATCTCAAGTGATCGTTCGTACGATGAAAGTGCTTTCGAGTACTCGCCCATGTTATCATACACCATACCGATGTTGTTGTAGGAACCAGCCAAGAAGGGATGATTCGGAGGGAGAGCTATTTTTTGGATTTCAAGCGCTCGTTCATACGATGAAAGTGCTTTCGAGTACTCGCCCATGTTAGTATACACATTACCGATGTTGTTGTGGGAAGCAGCCAAGTCGGGATGATTCGGAGGGAGAGCTATTTTTCGGATTTCAAGTGATCGTTCGTACGATGAAAGTGCTTTCGAGTACTCGCCCATGTTATCATACACCATACCGATGTTGTTGTAGGAACCAGCCAAGGAGGGATGATTCGGAGGGAGAGCTATTTTTTTGATTTCAAGTGATCGTTC